GCTCACCCCAGCCAGCGTGCTCGAGAGCCTCTGCACAAGCGCTCACCCCAGACAGTGTGCTCGAGCGCCTCTGCACACGCACTTACCCCAGACAGCGTGCTCGAGCACCTATGCACACCCGCTCACCCCAGACAGCGTGCTCGAGCACCTCTGCACACGCACTTACCACGGAAAGCATGCTCGAGCACCTCTGCACACGCACTTACCCCAGACAGCGTGCTCGAGAGCCTCTGCATGTGCACTTACCTCAGAAAGCGTGCTCGAGTGCTTCTGCATGCAGGTCCCAATGAGCACATGTGCCTCACCACTGGCTTACAAGGGAGTGGCAGAACCGCTCCTTGGCTTCTGCCTGGGCCTCTCTGCAGGCCTCCTCCACAGTGACACTGGCGACCCTTTCTGATACGATTTACATAGTGCCACTCCTCGTCTAAAATCTCCAGCGGCTTTCCAGCTCTGTGCCCGTAAATTCCAGCCTCCTCACCAAGGCCGGAAAGGCCTGGGCGATCGGGCCCCTCTGCCCCTGACCTCGTCGTCCGTCCTCTGCCCGCACTTCCTCCAGCCTCGCCGTCTCGCTGCTGTAGGTCCTCGGTCCCTGTGCAGAGGCTGTCCTCTCTGCAGACCACCCTTCCCTGACACCTACGAGGCTGGCCCCCTTCGGTCTCTGCTGGAACCTATCTTCTCAGGGCTGTCTCCCCTCCGTAACACACGCCTCCCCTTTCGGCCCCATCCTTTGCTCTCCACCATGGCCTAACCGCCCTGTGGCACCCCGCACACCCACTGTCTGTCACCAGGGCAGAGGCCTCTGCACCTCCACTTCTGGCGCACCACAGTGGCGAGTGTGCTGAGCAGGTGCCACCTGCTGGTTGTGGAGACAGAAAAGAGCCCTTGCCACTGGTGGGGTTACAGTGGGAGGCAGGAGAAGAGACAGATGCCCACACCACCACAGTCCTGGGATGCCCGAGGGGCATGGAGCTGGGGGTGGCCAGAGATCAGGAACACCCTCCAAGGTGGCCAGCGGGCCCTTCCTGGAGGATGAGTGGGAGCTGGCTGGGGAGTGAGGGCAGTCTCCGCCTTACCCCTTCCCTTCTCCTGCTTCAGCCCCGCTGTCTGGTGCCTGCCTGCCACCCCCACAGGCAAGGGGAGGACGTGGCCGGGGCAGCCCCAGTCGACATCATGTGCATAGCTCAGGTCACACGGTTTCTGAGCCGCTCACTCAGGGGAGAGGGGATGCTTTCACTGGCCAGCCCCGAGTCACGTGCTCCCCTGGAGGAGGAAAGCAGAGGGGGGATCTACCTGAGGGACAAAGCATGGGTGAAGAGTGTTTTCTGAAGGAGAAAATAGGGCCAGTGTCACACCGGAAAAGGAGTGCTGGGTGGCCCCACGACACATCTGTCTCTCTCCCCTTTCCTTTCACATCCCCAGTAACTGTTCTTAGCTCTGTCTTCAGTTTCCCTGCAGCCGGTGAAGTGCATCCCAAACTGCAGGTCGGAACCCTCCTGCTAGTTCCATCACCGATCATCAGGAGCAGTGTGTCCATGCATGCGTGTGTGCGTGTGTGTGCATGTGCATGTGTGTGCATGCATGCATGTGTGTGTGTGTGTGTACGTGTGGGGAGGGCACCATGCTGAGCAGGAAGCAGTGAGGCTGAGCTTCCACACCAGGATGGGACACTGTCCTGCAGTGAGCAGGACCACGGTGCCAAAAACTGGGACTCAGGTACAGACAGGTGGGGATTCTGTCACGGCTGGTAAGTTGGCCGGCTTGCAGTGAACAGGAAGTCTAACCTGCTGCAAGAAGGAATCAGCTTGTTCACCCTGGTAAACCTTTGCTTTGCTTCTCAAATGCTCCTCGGTCCTGTCCACTGATCATCTGTCCTGGTTTGCCTGCGATCAAGGGGTTCCTGAGACAGAGAATTTGCATTTTTAAAGCCAGGGCAACGTTGGCAAAGTGTAAAATCCAAACTGCTTTTCAGTGATGGAAAATGATACACAATTGGCATTGAAAATGAACATTTTTGATGCAAGAGATACACATTTTTTCTTTTCTTTTTTCTTTCCTTTTCTTTTCTCTTTTTTTGGAAGCTCAACCTAGACCTTCCAGTTTCCTTTACTACATCAGCTGTTCAATGACTTCAATTTGCATAGAGGTGTAAGATGAATTTGGGTGGAAGGAGCCACATTTTTGGCTGGGATAAAACAATGTGCCATTTTAATACAAATGTTGCAGGAATGGTGGTCACAGCTATATAGTACAAATCTGAGCTTTAAAAAAACCCTTTTTTTTAATGAGATGATTTCTTTTTAAACAGCAAGAAACGGAGGCCCTCTGACTGGCTAGGAGCTCAGGAGGTCCCATGTGGGCACAAGGTGAACACTCACTGAAATTGCTTCCTAGGCCAGGGTGGAGAATGATTGATCACAAGTCAAACTGTACACGTTACTGAAAGAGCTTGCAGGTAACCCTAGCCCAAGGCCATTGCCACCTCACTTTGCTGGCTGGAACATTTGAGGCTGCTAAGTGAGCTGGCAAAGCGACTTGATTCTTTGCACAAGATCTCCAGGTGTCTTGCATTGGCTGACAACTCTGTGGAGGTAAGATGGGGAGGGTGGCCCTCACCCACATGGCTGAAGCTGAGAGGTCTGCAAAACCAGTGATTCTCCAACAGGTGGGTGGACTTAGGGAACTTCCCAGGGTTTAGAAACTACAAGGAAAAAATTAAGATAGAAGAAAAAATGTGCAAATGTTTGGCAGTTGCTCAAGGTGTTTATTCCTGTTAAACAGTTTATGGGAGGCCGATGTTTCGGACTCCTGTTTTGGGCACCAGGATGGATTCATTTGTGCTAAGTGCCATGTTATGGAACTGAACTTTGAAATGGATACTCTTCCTAAAACTCAGATTTCAGTTAACCCCAGCCAGCACAGTAAGGCAGTCCCATGTTTCAACTCTATAAGGGAAGTAACTTCAAACGAACAGCCGACTTTTTGTTTCGTTTCTGCTGTCTTTGCTCCTTCTTTACCTATAAATCTAACATTCTCAGCTCAGCTCATCAGAACACTCGTTTTATACACAGGTGTACAAAGCTTAAGGTTTATTTATAGCGCGTGTATGTACCATCAGAGATGGTGGTGGTGAGAGGAGAGTGAGAGAGACCCTTGACAGGGTCTTGTCACTCAGCGATCCCTTTTCCCTGACCCTCCAGATCCTCATATGCGTTTCAGATAGGCCAGGGCAGGTGAACCCAGGGTTGGCCACGTGGCTTCCAGCACCGCAATTCAGAAGCCTACCACTGTGTCCTCTGGCTGGGCCTTCTCATGTATTTTATAGAATGACGTTTTGTCCCAATTCTAGACAGCAAATAAAAGCCAATTCGACTTTGAAATTCGCTGTGGCTCTGTCTTTGACAGTCGGCACCTGCGCAGGCGGAGCGGGGCATGGAACACAGTTCTACAGGGGATGGCAGCGCACAGCAGCCTGGGGGCGGGAAGCTCGCAGGGCGCTCCCACGCCCTGGTCTTTGCAAACACCCAAATAAGCCGGCACTGCGGACGAAGACAAAGACCCCTAAAGAACTGAACTCTAACCCCCAGACCTTTGGTTCAGTGCCCGCACTGATCGAGCGCGGAGGCGCCTGCGCGGACAGCTGCGGAGCGGTGCGGCGCATGCGCGGCCTCGGGAGCTGAGCTGGCGGCCGGCGAGGGGGGCGGGGACCGACCCGGAGCGCGACCCCGAGCCCCGCCCACCCTCATGGCGCGGCACGTGTTCCTGACCGGGCCCCCAGGTAACCCGGCTCGCGGGGCCTCCTCCCCGGGCCCAGGGGACG